GGGCAACATCAGGGAAGCCCAGCTTCTCGCAAACAGAATCCGCCACCGCGCCGCTGACCTGCGGTTCCAATAATACAAGAAAGTTAGGCCGGTGGGATTGGATTGCAAAACGGAGGGAACGTAAGAAGGATTTTCCCCCAGCACCACCCACGTTCCAAGAAAGGATTTTAAAATCAGAGTAAAATGAGCTAGACATAGGAAACAAAATCAAAGGGGAGGAAAGAAAAGAACGCAGTCGCTAGGACTCAGCAGAGCTCGGGGGCAGAGAAGGCACAGCCGCCGCACTAGTCAAATCGTGATCGCGGGGTGTGGTCGTCGCCGGGGCTGCCATTTCCTTCTCTGGCTCTTCACCGGACTTAGCCGCATTTGTCCATTCCTGTATTTGCTGAAGGGTTAGAGAAACACGTCTCTCTCTGCTCTTCACTCTTTTTTCCTTGATTGGGGACCAGATTTGCAGCGCCTTTGCTGGGTTATGGCGGATCGGTGTGCCGCGTGGTGGTGATGAACTGCCATCGCCGGCTTCTTTCTTCCTCCCCTTCTTGTGCTTTGTGCGAAGATTGGCCGAGGGAGCTGCCGGATCGATAGCTCGCGGCGGAGGAGGCGTGTAAGGCTTCGCCTCTACCACGCGGATACGGGTATCAGGCCCCCCTACTTTGTTCTGGCCCGAGACCGAGCCCGTGGAAGCCGAGTGAGGCCCATTGGGGGCTTTGGAATCAAAATCAGGCCTTGTCTTACCCAAGTTTGGGTTGACCACGGCAGAGGTTGACGCCTCATGATCATTCCTGGGCTTATTGGGCCGTGAAGAAGGTTTCAAGGAATTGGGTCGTGGGCCTAAGAGCCCTTTCTCAGTTGTCTCGGTACTGTCAGCCATAAGCGCCTTTCCTTTTTTCGTTTCCTCCTTCTTTCCAGATTGGATTCCCGTCACTTTCCCTGCCTTCCCACTCTGCAATTTCGGGGGGGGTCTCAGAACTTTCCTTATCACCCTCCCCTCCTTTCCCTGAATTTCTGATCTTGTGGCCGTTGGTTATTAAGTGGTTCTGATCCGACTTACCTTGCCCCGCCACATCCCTTTGATTGCGCCGAGATTTCCGTGTAACTAGCATCCACGGCCCGAAACCGACCACATCCCCGGAGACAACTCCGCCGGCGTCGGACCCCGGCGACGGCATCGTACCGTAAGACTCAACCCCCGGCCGCTCCTGACAAATCAAGGGGCATGTGACCTTGGTATGGCCGACCTTGCCACATTCAAAGCAAACAACAGGGATATTCTCGAATTCCACCTTTTGCCAACGGCTGTCGAGTCTAATCCGAGGAACCAGAGGCTTGGAAAGATCAACCTCCACAGCCATTCTAGCAAATTTGGCACGTTGTTGGTGCTGAGTGTGATAGTCGAGTTTTATAGCCCTCCCAATCATATTGCCAAGTGCAAAGAGCAGTTCTTGATGGTAGAAATGAACAGGAAGACCCGGGAGTCCGCTGCCAAGGAGCACTGAGTTTATTCCTGAACGAGTCAGAGACTCTGAGCTCCGGCTCGCCGTTAAAAGTCCCTGGCACCAGATCCTTCTCGCCCACCGGAATCCACCGTTGCTTCGCAGGTTGCTGCGTACTAGAACTCCCTGCCACCGCCGAAGCATAGGAAGCCAGGGGGAGCATGGTTGTGATCCCGTTGGTTCGAGCCAGGTCCACAGTTTCCATTCCTGGCCGAATAGACCCGTCGGAGGCCGGCGTTGTGACAGTCAGAGCCTCTGTTGCCTTTGATTGCACCGTAACGCCCTCAACATCCATCTGCGTTGATGATTCAGGCATGATCTCTAGCATCTTTTCTTCGTTCAAAGTACTTTCCGTTGAGGACAGCGGGTCCGGCGGCCGCCCTTGGGAGGAGACCGCCGACGCCGGAGGAAACAGATGAGGGGGATTCGACGAGAGCATTTTCCGGTTCCCCACTTCCCGTCTTATTTAATTCATCATATTGTATGTTTGGCAATTGCCCACTACTAATGAGAGTTCAGCCCATAACGCCTCAAGAAGGCCCAAATTCGTCTCATGGCCTTCATGGACTTCGGCTATGAATCCACACAGGACACAGCCTTAATTTAGGCCGGAATAAATATGTGACCATTTTGGACTTTCGGTTAGGGTTAGCCACGAGGATTTAGAGCTTAGACATAAATGCATAGGTGGTCAAATGTGTTTACTATGGTTATTACCATTTACTAATCATTATCAATCATGGAATGCAATATTTTAACTAAATAGATTGAATTATTACAAGAATTAAATAAATCAAATAAAATCTTAATCGATCTGGTTAATTAATTAGCTACTATAACATTACATGTCAGATTAAAAATTATCCTTTGAATGCAGCAATCCATAATACAATGAAGAGCTAACACCCACTTTAAAGACTAAATCTCAAAAAAGGTTTTGAAAATTAACTGATGCATTTATAAGTTTAGCATTCAACTTATATAGATTATAGGAAGCTGTCTCATTCAAAATGGAATGTGCTTGTAGGAAATTGAGTTTGGGTAGGCCACAAAATATTGACAAGTTCATCGATGGATTTGGGTTGGAGTATCCAATGATCGGATGAGTTAGGATGATTACTATTTTTTAGTTACTATCGTGGCTACTTACATTTCCATCCTCCATTCTCAATATTTTTAAAATGATTGTATTGATTGATTAAAGTTAATTTTGAAAAAAATAAAAACACACCGGATTACTATAGTTAAAATATAGTTTTCCATATATTCTCCCAAACTCTAAATAATTATATATTCCCAACTCTAACAAATCACCATTTGCCATTCTCCCCTGCCTTCTTCTCAAATAATCCATATATAAAACATCATTTTAGAAAATTAAAACAAATCACAATTACACTAAATAAAAGCACACAATTCTTTGTTTTTCGTCCATTCTCTTTTTATTTGTGAGAGAGCAGCAAACCAACAAAACTTGGTATGTTCAACTTCAATAATTAATTTATCCCTCACACTTCTTTGGAAAAAAAGAACAATACGCCGATTTGGGGAGAGTAGAACGACGAAATAAGTGTGATCGGTTATCCTTAAACCCAAACCCAACCCGATAAATAGTTAACAGGTTTAAAACCGAATCCGGCTCGAAACCCGTCAACATGGGTTTTACCCGCGTTGAGCGGGTTGGATCGGGAAGGGTACCCCGTAGGTTCGGGTTTTGTTGCCATCCCTACATCCCTCCTTCCCAAACTACCGCCCACCACTGTCTCTGTCTCTCTCTCTCTCCGTGAAGACATGTCGCCAACGATTTGTCATATTCCAGATATGGTTTTTCATATTGGTATATATTAACTTTTTGTAGTTGTATTGTTTTTTGCATTGATATTGATTGTCATATGATGATTTTTTTTGTTTGATGTTATAGTATTGGTATTGATTTTCATTCATTGGTATTGGTTAATTCTGAAATAGTATTGGTTAATAAGTGGTATACGTTGTTATAATGGTAGTGGTAGTATCTTGTGTAGGGTGTAATGGTAGTGTTTTTATGTTTTTATATTGACTTCTATAATGGAAGTATTGGTGTTTTTTGAAATGGTAGTGGTTGTCTAATTGATTGGTATTGATTTCTTGTTTTATTTTTACAGTGGTAGTAGTTCAACTGATCGGAGACAATGAAAAGATTGAAAAATGGAAGGTAGATCTAGCTGGAGATTTAGAAAGTGAGAGAAAGAGAGAGAAACTTTTAATTAATTCGTTTTTGTAACTTTCTAAAATGTAATTTATTATAAATAATAATTAATTAAATATTTTTTCCATAATTAATTTGCCCTTAGTAACCATGGTGATTACTAGTTTCAAGTAATCACCATCACGGAGCTGGACATAATATATCTAGGGGAAAATATAGTACATATATATATTGGTAAATTGGTGTGTAAGGTTAATTAGTAGGATCATTAACCACATAAAACTAGCTAAACCGAGTTCCGTGCGTCTAATTAGTTGAAAGTTGAAGTTTTGCCCTTATCTAAAGTATCACTCGGTGAAAATATGAGTTAAGATAAGTCAAAAATATGATTTATAAAAATAAATGTTGGGACAAATCAATGTATAACAGGGTCAAGAACAATGCAAAATGAGACAGAGTGAAATACCGTATCGGAGGCTAAACCGGCAGACGGTTTTTAGCGGTATGAAGTGGTCGAACCACCGTTAAACCACGATTTAGCATAAAATATTCTACCGCTGACTTTTCCAGTACAACCTTCGATACAATATTTCAATACTTATTTGACAAAACGAGTTCAAATTGCCATCACTATCCGATCCCAACCTCTTTTCTTAATATATAATTATATACCCCATAATTTAAAACATGGCTTCATTGCACAAATCACTAGCAGTCAGGAAAAATTTGAAAACATGGCTTCATACTTGCTTGCAATAAACAATTACTAAGTACACAAATACCAATACCAGATCAGTATTACTTACCACTGAATCTCGATGTTCAGGAAAAAACACAACGAAAATTTTCGTGTTCTTTCTAGTGTATCAATAGCAATAATTTTAATTAGGAGGCTGAGACCATACATATCCGAAACTCCCAATATGAGAGTGGAAAGATACATTGAATGGTTAATTTGTTATACAACAGAAGCATATCCTGTTGCAATTACGCTTAGAACTAGACCTAATTAATCGTACGAATTATATACGAAAGGGATTTTCATATTCATTCTATGGTTGTTGTAATGGAACTACTAAGTTAGCATACAGAAATCCATATGTTATTAATGCTTTGAAATACACCCATCTGTTCAGAACTTCATAGTATTATACAATATAATACATATCCATGTCCAACCACCATAACCAATAATAATACCTAACTAAGTATTTCTCTATATACTTTTCTGTACACTTGACAAACATCAATATTGAAGAAGAACGATTCCAAATGTCGCAACATAAGTAGATCGACGGCAAATACAAAGCCCTAATGATCTACGAGCAATATTGTTCCTCCTTCTGCTTCCACTCCAACCCTATAAACCGGCACGGCGAGTACCGAACTTTGTACTCCGAAATCGTCTCCACCTTTGGCGACCATTTTTGCTCTCTACACCCAACCAGCTGATCGTAATGCTTCTTCAGCTCCGGCGTGCTACAAAGAAAACCGTTACTCCCATCGCCGTTTTCATCTCCTTCTCCTCTCCCAACTTTGACCAGAAGTCTAATCATAAACTCGGGCGCCACCTTGATCAAAACGCCGCCGTCCGACCCCTTCAGGTACTGAAGCGGCTGGCACCCGCCGTTGACCAGCGGGGTCTTGTTGTTATTATTAGGGCTTCCGGCGGCGGCGGCGGTGAAGGCGGCGAGGGAGGAAGCGCTTAGGACTTTGGTGCAGGCGAAGAGGTCAACGGGGAGGACGAGGTAGGTTTGACCGGGCAAGAGCTCGTCGTGGATGGACAAGGCGGGGATTGGGTGGCCGAGGAAGAAGGATTCCGAGTTGCACACCAACTTGTCGGGATGGTTTACCATGATCTGCCCGGCGATGAGCTTGCCGCTGCGGCGGCCGGAGGGGGTGAGGGCGGTGGTTGTGCCGTCCCAGAAGATGAGTGAGACGGATTTGGGCGATGAGCAGGGTTGGAAGCAAGAGGCCGGAGAAATGTTGACGTTTCCCATATCTTAGAGACTAGAGAGGATAGATCCAAATATTTTGCAAGTGATGGATGTGGAGGAAGTAGTGGGCCTTATAAATGGAAAGAAAGTCAGTCTTTGTCTCTTCTTATCTTCTTTCTTGGGTTAATATCAAATGAGGTGCCTAAAACTTGCAAGTACTTCACATTTATGCCTCAACATTTTTTCAAATGCTTGATCTTTAATCCTTCTAGTTCGCTCTTTGGGGACATTCGATACAATAAGGTATATATGAACTAAAAGTATTAGAGCTTCTGATCGAGATATAGGGCTAGAGTCTTTGACTCTCTGGGGAGATCCGATGCTTAAGGAATTTCGCTCTTCCAGAACTCCCACAGATGTCAAACTAGCTATTATGGTTGTCGGATTCATGACATGGTATTAAAATTGTTGAGCAAGAGGTATCGTGTTTGATACTGATAGTTGGATTCAACACAGGATATATATATGATTAGTTTGTGAATTCAAATCCATGATAGAGCTTTGGTCGAAATATCACGTGTTCGAAATTCTAATACAAGGTACGTCGAAATTCTCGTTATCTTTAATGTTGACAAATAATTCCAATACAAGGTACGTCGAATCAGTACAAACATCTGGTCTATATATTGGTCTATATATTGGTTGTAATCGATTTACATTGTTAAATAACATGGTCGACTAAACATAGATACGAGGAAAAGCGAAAGTAGAGCACCACCACCTCTTATTCATATATCACACAAACGGTAAAACCGCCAATCGAGTCAATCATGACCTATTGGCAAACATCCGAATCAGAAATAAGAATAGAATGATAGCCAAGGAGACAAATAGCAATATAATCAAAACATAAATGTCAATGGAGTGAATGTTCTGTTTTGAAAAATTCAGGGACTTCACTTGTGTCAAATTTCATTGTTCTTTTGTGGTGATCTTTGGATGTTGGTGTTTGGTTTGCTCATTATTGTCGCGCAATTTAAAACTAGCTAGATTTTCTGATTTTGCCTCGTGATAAAGGGAGAGGCGGAAGAGTCTAATTTTGCCGGCGTTGACAAAAATTGTCCAATCAGTGTGCACTTTGCGTTAGTAATTAACGCTTGATGTTCCTTGGTCCGTTTTCTTTCCCTTTCTGGGAAAGTGGTGTGGGGAAGCTTGAACAAGAATAATATGCACTTCCCTTTGCTTTCCATATAGCCAAATGGAGACAAAGTCAATCATAGTCTTGCCTCGCAGTTAGGGATGGGAATAGTTCGAATTCGGTTGAATTTTTCTAAATACAAATTCAATTCAGATACAATGTTTATTGAAACAGAAGAGAGAGCTCAATACAATTCAACGAGTATTCATAGATGTATGGATACTCACGGATTTACGACATAATTGTGAATTGTTTCGTTAAAGACACCAACATTCATGTATTGAAAGTTGACCGTATTTGGGCTAAATCCTCATTCAAATTAACCACCCATCAATTTGAAAAAAGAGTTTTACTCGCAAGCTAACCAGAACTCGCGAACATTATAGGTTGTATCCGATTTGCCCAGGTGAAACCGAATTGGGTACCCACTTGTCTGAGTTCAACCACGATTCCTACTGAAAATGGGGATGGCAAAAAAGGCTTATAGTATGATATGTGATATGTGTGTATATGTTCAATGTACAATGAAGCATTATCGTTAAACTAAAACAACTTGTGCATTGTGATGTGGTCTTGTTTGTACTACTCATTACCGCTCCAAATTGATAGTTATTAATGCTATAAAAATGTTTGCAATTTTTTTTGAATATAACTGTTTGTTGATTCGACTAATTTTCCGTTATTTCATAAAAAAATTCTAATTTGGCTGAGAGTTAATTTGTTAGAAAGTTCAACTACATTTGAATCCTTTAGGACTCATGGTTTACTTTTTTCCTCATTGTGATCTGGTACATGTCATGATTCATGAACCATTAATTGGTTACATTAATTTGAGTTATTACTAAATGGTTATTAACAAATATTCAAAAATGAATTTTTATATCATTCTTTTATATGGTAAGGAATCAACATACATCCATTGATTGGTTCAGTAATTAAGCCAATCGTGATGAACTGATCAAGCGATCTAGCCAAATTAACTAGATAGGTGCACTCAGCAACCTCGTAATCAATCTCCATATCTCAACTCTTCTTCTCATTATATTTGAACAAGTTGGTGATATATTTTATTCATCGGATAGTAAATATGTAAATTAGGTTTTTTCCTTGGTAAATACAATTTAATATCCAAACCTTTCATTTTAAACAATATAATAACCAAACCTTTTCGAAAACAATCTAATATCCAAATCGTCAACTTTCCGTTCGTTTAACCGTTAGTTGACACTTCAAAAAAGTTCGAAGTACGACGCTTCATCAATATCCATCGATATCTTCTCTGAAAAACCACCAGCATATCGTGGTTCCAAACCCGAGAAGTCCATGACTCCACCACGATGGTATAGAAATCTAAATATTCAGTCATCTGCAATGCCAAACAAGAAAACAAAGTTGTATTGTGACAATTTTCCCTAAACAAAGCTTTTTTGAAGTGTCAACCAACGGTTAAACGAACGGAAAGTTGACGATTTGGATATTAGATTGTTTTCGAAAAGGTTTGGCTATTATATTGTTTAAAATGAAAGGTTTGGATATTAAATTGTATTTATCCTTTTTCCTTTTATGCTTGTCTTGAATTTCCTATATACTAGGTGGTTATGTCGCGGCTTGTCGCGGGTGGAGATGGTCTATGTGCATGTATTATGTGGCTCGTTATGGTGTTTTGTTAGTATTATTAGTCTAAAATTAATTTTTTTGTTAGTAATATTGACTTTACAATATGATATTGACTGAGAAGAGATATATGGTGGTCAACCATTGATTATTGGTTGGGTGTGGGTGACTTAAACATGGGTATGGAAGTTTGTAGATGGGTTTGGGTAGGGTATGGATATTTACTTCCACAATCTAAATGTGTATGAGTTGGGTATGGATACTCATTTACTCGATGGTGTTTTAATTACACATACAAAAATTAGACCTATTTGTTGAACTTCAAAAGTTTAGGTACCAAAATGTAATACATAAAAATTTTAGGTACTAAAATATAATTTTCCTTCAATATTTAGAGGACTTATATACCGAAAAAATAATGAAGGTTATAAATCTAAGAGCCTGTTTACTTTCATTTCTGTTTCCTGTTTTTGAGAAAATAGATTTTGGAAACAGGTGAAAACAACATTTTGTCGTTTCCGAAAACAGCAGGAAGTTGCCATTTTCTGTTTTCATAGTTGGAAACGAATAGAAAACCAAATAAAAAGTAAACAAGTTTTCTCGTTTGGGTTGCCAAATTTATGACATGAAAACAGAAAACAGGAAACGAAAATGGAAGTGAACAGGGCCTAAAGATCTATTAAGTTTAGGTACATAACTGTAATTTGCATAGTTGAGGCTTAATTCCTTTTGTGGTGATGTATTTAAGATGATAATTATTTACCTTTTTATAGAAAAATGAAAATTATTTATTTGATATGCGTAGATACCTATTTAGCCAAACATTCGATGTATAATTGTTGAAAATTCTAACCCGATTGAAAGAGAAAAACTCTAGAGGGAAGTAAGGAATACAAACTTAAACTCGCTTAAATTTCACGCCTTTAAATCCCATAGTGGAAAATGATGACTTTCTAATAAGTAATAACCATGTATATTTATTTTTAATTGGACTTGACATTGAGCTGAAAAAGTTAGTGGGTTATGGTTCAATTATTAGTTTTCTAGACTTTTGGTGAGTCGTGTATGGACTCGTTCATACTTGTAATTAGAATATATAAAAATAGTATACTAATTAGGGATAGACGAAGAAGGCAAAGAAATAAATAAAGAAAGGGTTATGGAAGGTGAGTGAAAAATGAAACGAAAAGGAAGTAGATGATGGAAATGTTTTGACCAATTCTTTAGTTGGCCGTCAATACAACAATCAACCCTTTTCACCGTAGCAATTTATGGACATTTGCTTATGTAGATATCACATATTTTTTTACATGTAGTTAGTAGAAGTTTGTTTAGTACCCATAAATGTACTAAATGAGTTTATAAATTTGCTCTTGCAATATTTTAGAGTCTGTCTCTCTTATATTATTTATTAAATATTTCACGTCGAATCTTCTCCTAGTGTTGAGTGATACAACATCTTGTATTGTACAAACTAAATATATACTTTTATGTTATGGTGGATTGAATTCATGGATTGGTGGATTGGATTCATGGATTCGAATGAAATCTAAACATTGGACAAATATGTAATAGGTACGAAAATCTCATAAAAATTAACAAATAGGTACTACTTCTCCCCCGGTCTTGACTCATTCTACCTTGATTTAGTTTGTCTAAATATTTAACTACTTCTCCTATTTTTACTTATCTCAAATTATATTTTCGCCCAATGATACTTTAGTTAAGTGCAAAACTTCATATTTCAACTAATTACACTCATTTAGTCTACCTATCATTTTTTTTCTTCTAATTATGAACTATTTTTTCTTTATTTTCATCACAAAAAATTAAGATTTTGTTCAAATTACATATAGGAATGGGTTGACCTGTCTAGACCTGTATAATGCGAGTATCACTCGACCTTGCTCGCGTTTAATGTGAGGCAAATTTGGACATTAAGGTACCTGCCTGCCTCGTCCGCCTCAATGTCATCACTAATCAGGAGCAACTCAGTTTACCCGTTTTGTGTGCATTTTATAAGGAATACATATGTTATACAATGATTGAAATTTTGAATTGACAAAATGATAAGTTATTTTGAGTACTACATAGTAAGTTTCACATTAGATAACATTAAAACTCACTCCAAAAATGAAAATATTAAAATAAATATAAAATAAAACCCTAGGATCTAAATCAATTTTTCTTAAATCCAGTAGAGAGAATATGATAACAGAGTTTTTTTTCTTCATAAGAAGAGGAAGTGCTT